GGGACGCATTTCGCACATGGAGCTCCCTGAACAATCTTCCTGAAAACACGGCTACGTTCCCTTTCTCGACCTGAAACTCGGACTGGGGCTTTATGTCACTCAGCGAGTGGAACAGACGGCTGGGCCTGGGCACAGAGGGGCACAGGCACGCGCCAAGGCTTTCTCCGGTCTGTCACTCACCACAGCAGGGTAACAGCTGGGACAGGGTGTCTCTGAACAACAGGAGCCATGAGGACATGGTTCTGCACAGCCAGGACAGTGCTGCCTACCTATGTCAGCAAACGATTTAAACAGTCTTTTCCATCGCTAAGACGACAGCGAGGACGACGGCAAAAGCTAGGTCCCCAGGCGCCGGACGTGATCATGTAGCGTGCACAAAGAAACTCAGACATTTTGTACCGGGACAGCCGGGCCTTCTCAAGGGCCTTGGTGTTATCACTCACTTCCTCGGTGATTCTGCCAAAGGAGTAAACAATTCTCTCCAGGCAAGTAGTAAGGGCTGTGGTAGGAAATCCTGACTTTCATTCAAAACAGCTAAAAGTTACCATCAAATTTCCACTACAAAATTTTGCAGAGAAACCACAAAGCTTCCTCTGGTGCTGTTATTTACAACACGAACTATCCTTCAGTCTGTTATGAATCCGCTCTCCGTTCACACTCAACTTTTATTCTAGCTTTTTTTTTTTTTTTTTTTTAAGAATCAGGTAATCATACTCTGCCACATCACGGATGAGGCCACGGTTCATCTAAGTGAATGAAAACCAAGAAACAATAGGAAGCCCTTTCCCCTTCATATCATGCTACAAAGAAGCTGTCTTTGAAGTTCTTGGTTTACGATGAGTTTATGTTTTTTAGCTAAGAAATGGATCAACCAAAGATAAACCTGACCACGTCACAAAACCGGGAGCATTCCCTTGGCCAGCCAGGCACTTTTCAAAGGCCCGTGCACACCAGTCAGACAAGCTGTTTTCAGCCAAGCTCGCGAGGGCCACGTGGTATCTCACTTGCTGTCGGGTGTCAGGTGAACAGCCACGGTGTCCTGCAGAGCACAGATTTCCAGCCTTGCCTGTAGAGGACAGAAGGACAAAATGACCACGGGGAGCTACATTTGCTTTCAGAGACACACACGGGTGAGGGGCAGCTCCCAGGCTGCTCACTGCGGGGCTGGGGTGAGAGAACATGGCAGGCCCAGAGTTACCCCACCCACTGCCACGGTGACGGATTGCTGTGAACAGACCTCAAACAGTTCAAAGAAATGGGCTATGACAGAATTTCCTTTTATTGAAAATTAACTTAGAGTGAAATTAATTGAGTGTGAAGGCAGGGGCCAGTTCTCTCGCTATAAAAGGCACACACTGTACGAGGATTTTCTCGCAATCTGCGTTTACTATCTAACCAGAAATTTTTCTTCTAGTCTGCATGTGAGAGGAAGGAAGGTCTGAAGCACAGCCCCTGAGGGGTTCTCCTCCTCCACGGGCCTGAGGAAGTGGGTGGGTTCACTCACTTAACCCTGTGTCCTTCCAGGTACACCAGCTGCGGCCTCAAAAGTTAACCTACAAGTCAATGTCTAGTAAAATCACAGCTGGCTTCCTCTACAATTTTTTTTTTATTAAATTGACAAGTTGACCCCCAAAATCATATGTAAATACAAACAACCCACAGACAGCGCATTCTGGAACAAAGAAGAACACAGTTGCAGAAACTCTGACTTAACTACAAACCAAGAAGGCATGGTGCTGGCAATGTGGACAGATATACAGATGAGTACAACAGGACTGAGTGTCTAGAAATCAGCTCTCCCATTTATGATCAATCGAGGTTTGATAAGGGTGCCGAGACCATTCAATTGGGGGAAGAATGGTGTCTTCAACAGCTGGACCACCACATGCAAAAGATTGAAGCTGAGCCCCATCCCCCCTCCTTAATACAAAAAGGAACTCAAAATAGATCACGCCGACATGTAAGCGATGAAGCTGTAAAACAGAAGAAAACAAAAGTATATCTTGCAACATGGTGGTGGGCAAGCCTCCTTAGAAATGACACCTGAACTACAAGAGATTGACAAGCAGACACATTTGACGTCATCAAAAATTAAATTAAACATTTCTAGGCTGCAAGGGACTCCATGAAGAAAGTGAAAAGACAACGAGAAAGTGTGACCAGCAGACAGAGAGGAACAAGGATGGTGAGGGTGTGGAATCTTCATGTAGTGCTGACAGGAAAGTATGACCACTATGGGAACGGTCTGGCAGTGGAATGGAAGATTACATGTAGAATAACCATAGGACCGAGCAAGGCCCCTACCCTTACATATGAGCCTGAGAGAAATGAAGACACATGCCCACAAAAACCTGGTGATGTGTAAGTTCATAAAACTAGAACTTTCTTTTCACTATCCAGAAGTAGAAGCAACTCAAATGTTCATCAAGGATGAGTAGCTAAAATGTGGTATAGTCACACACAGCTTAACAATGGGAACATAGTCTGAGGTAAATGTCAAGTGTGGTGGTTCCATCTTTGAGTGAATGTTATAATCACGCAAGTCTGGATGCAAGTCCAGTCTACATGGTACAGACTACTGGACCCAATGGCATATATGCAGCACCTCTGACCAAAACACCATTATACCATGCAAGACCCCCCCCATGGAATATTATTCAGCCCTCAGAAAGGTGCGGAATGCTCATTTATACTATGTCATGGATGAAACCTGCAAATCATGTTAGGGAAAGACTGATGTCAAAAAAAAGCAGTATTTGTATAATTCCATTTATATGAACTTTTCAGAATAGAGATAACAAAGCAGATTAGGGCTTGTCTGTGGCTGGGAGGCAAATGGAGAGGCTCTGCTGTGGGGCGCAAGTTTCTTTATGTGTAATTGTACCACAGTCATTAAACTTGACTCTAACGATAACTGTATAGTTATGTGAGCATAGGAAAAAAAATCACAAGTTGTATATTGTTTACCTTGTAGACACCGTATATAGGAATGAGTGATATCTGTGTAAAACTTAATAAAAAAGAGCTAACCTGAAGCATACTTTTCTGCAGAAGCTGGAAAAAGTGTCACTACACACAGAAAAGTCGTCTGGGAGTTCGGGCACCACCCTACTGGGGATGCGCACATCACCCATCCTTTACTTCCCACCTGGGTACCCACAGGGTGCGTAAGCCTTGAGTGACCGTCTAAAAGAAACAGCTGTTTACTTCCAGAAGGGCATACAGTAGAAGACAGTGAACAAAGGCATGGCCAGCTCTTTAAATTAGAGGTATTCAGGAATTCTGCCACTATTCTAGGTCAACACTGATTTATATATAATACAGCTTAATCACTGAATTTTTTTTAATGGAAAGCAACTGTTTTCATTTTTCAGTGTTTAGGAGGCCCGAAAACCAGCTTATACCTAGAAAGCAAATGCATGACAACTTGTCTCTATTTATTGCTTATATCCAAATATGTATGAAAATGGACTTATAAGAAAAATACAAAAGAGAGAAAACAAGGCCGAACTTTTAGTGGAATATTCTAGGTGAAGGATTAAGCTACTGTAAAACTAATCTTCATGTAAAAACTTTATTTAAATGAAGGGATAGGTGTGTTTTAATTAGGCCAACTGTAAAAGCTGTACTGTATTGATAGAATACACAGACTTGTACTCTACACAATGTTGTGCTATGAGAACCGCAAAAATCACCAAGTGATCCCTCAATCCCCTCTGAACTGGCTCTGGGGAAGGTTTGGAAGACTAATACATTTATATAAAGGTGCATGACCCTTTATGTAAATGGCCATAAAAGATTAACCTGCAGTCCCTCTCAGATTTATCCGTTCAAAAGAAGGAAGTCGTTCCTCAAACTGCTAAACATGGAGCTTCCCTATGACCCAGCCATCCCACTCCTAGGTATCTACCCAAAAGACACAAAAACGCTGATTGAAAAAGATACTTGTACCCCCATGTTTATTGCTGCTTTATTTACAATTGGAAAAACATGGAAGCAGCCCAAATGCCCAAAAGTAGATGACTGGATTAGAAAGATGTGGTACATATATACAATGGAATATTACTCAGCAACCAAAAAAGAGAAACACATGTCTTTTGCAGCAACTTGGATGGAGCTGGAAAAGATCATGCTGAGTGAGATAAGCCAGAAAGAGAAAGAAAAATACCGGATGGTGTCACTCATAGCAGGAGTATAATGGACCAGGCGAGAAAATAACAAAAATAATGAACAACCATAGACCAGAGACATTCTGTGGGGGTGGAGTGGGGAATGGGATCAAAAATGGGGGGGGGGGAAGGGAGGGAAATGCGCGGGACTAGGGTGGTGGCACAGGGGTAATTTGGTGATGGGAAACCCGTGGGGATTACAATGGAGATGAAAAAAAAATGTGCAAAATGATGTAAAAATAAACTTTTTAATAAAAAAAAAAAAAAAGAAGGAAGTCATTCTCAGTCATTCTCAAAGGGCGAGGGCAGAGTGGGGGATTTACACTCGTTGGAGCTTTTCAGACATAGAAATGCCTGCCAGCTTCCTGGGAGTATCAGGATATCAGAGGTTGAAACAGTCTTGGTGATCAGTCATCCAGCTGACCACAAGCTGGCTTTGAGAAGAACTGAGACAAAGGTAAGCAGGTAGCCTTGGAGAAGGTCGATTCTGTTGTAATATCAAGACTAATTATGCCCACTGTAGTTACGGCAACTTCCTTTTAATTAATCTTCTTCTTTGAATCCATACTTAAAACAATCTAACTCCCTGCAACTGAACTATTATAATGATTACAACCTTTCAAATTTATAATGTTAAAGGTCTGACAAATCAAAATTTTACAGAAAATTGGTGGCAGCTAGAAATACAGCGCAAGATTTTATAATGGATTTTCCCCTAACCAATTTGCCAAAAAAATGCGTTCTCCATTTCTCTTGCCCCACCCCCATTTTATGTATGAAAATGATCACGTCTGAGAAAATGTTATCATGAACATCTATAAACCACATTAGTGGTCTTCTCTCATTTCTCCTCATCTATCAGCCCACCCTACTGGTTTGATATACTTCACCATGCATCACTAACTTGGGAGGCCTGTTTCAAGTCTTTAGGTTTCCAGTTAAAATTTACATATGTGAAATCTTGAAGTGTACCACTGGCCGGGAGCTGACTGATGCTGACTTAAGTCCGATCAGGTGCCCACCCTTGGGATCTTCCCCAGAGGGAAAGCACTATTCTGGGATTTATTTTCCGTCACAGAAGAGTCCAAGCAGTTCTAGAAATTCATGTAAATCAAACCCACACAGTATCTGTGTTCCCGGGTATGGGCTTCCTTCACTTGGCTGAAGGTGCCTAAGACCCAGGTGGTAGAGGTCGTTAGTTCTTTTTATTGTTGGCTAGTAGTTGGTATCTGAACACACCACAGTTGGTTTATCCTGTTGCTGAACACCTAGGCTGCTTCTAGTTTACAGCTATTATGAATGAAACTGCTCTGAGTATTCTTATTTATGTTTTCCTTCTAGACAGTGTTTTTAAGTTCTCTTGATTGAGGACTTATACAGGCTTGGGATGGCTGGACCATGGGTCAGTTTGGAAAAGGAACTGAAAAATTTCCCCAAGGTAATTATGTACTATGTAACACTCCCAGTAATGAATGAGAGTTCTCCGTTTTCTACAGTCTGGTCATATTTGGTGTTTCCAGTCTTTAATTTTCTTCATCAGGTACATGCTACCTGTGGTGCTAATTTTCATTCCCCTGATAACAAATGACGTTAACCGGCCATCATTCTTTGTGCTGATTGTCTGTCCTGACTCTTTTGGAAATCAAGTTACATGTGTGCCTGTGTTCCTTTTTTCCTCAATTATTCTTTCTCATCCTTCATATTAGAAATTTTCGGTTGATCTAAAAAATCAGTAACTTTTTCTTTTGTTCCCTTGAGTCTACTATTACTCCCATGGGAGAGAATTTTTTAAAAGCTTTATTTATCTACTTATGCACTGGGGTGTAGGCCAGAGGTATGGGGGGGGTATGGAAATTCACCAGAGACAGAGTGGGGAGCAGAACAGGCAGATCTACTGAAATACCCTGCTGAGGGGAGCAGCAGGCGCGGCAGGATGGGTCTGCTGGGCTGTGTCAATCAGCGCCTGGGCCAGAGATCAAACTCCCGCTGCAGTGGCTGGGGGCCTCTTGACAGCGTTGTGTCTTTGACCCTTGCGCCACTAGGAAGGCCCTCCATGAGGAGATTTTTAAAACTCATCTATTGTATTATCTCATCCCAGAATTCTCGTTGCTGATTTTTGGGTTTCTATTTTTTGCAGCGATTTCTTATCTATTCATTCATTGAGATCACAGTCTCCTTTACATCCCCAAATACAGCCACTTTAAAATCTTTCCTTTCCAGTTCCAACAGCTGGGTCATCTCAAGGCTGGTCTTAGTGAACGGTCTTATCTATTGAGGCTGAGTTCAGCTTCCTGTCTGGTTTGTGCTCTGCTGTGGGTGTTCCCTGGACACTCAATGCTACACTGCGGAGACCCGGGAGCTCTATACTCTCTGGCCCTTCCAGTGTTGACCTTTTGCTGGTTTTGGCAAGCAGTTATTTGGGTTCAGACTGAAAATGCTTAGCTCTTGGGCAGCATTTAAATTTTTTTAAAAAGATTTCATTTATTTATTTATGCATACAGAACTGGGGTACAGGCCAGAGGTGCAGGGGGGCGTGAGAGTGGGGAACAGAATAGGAAGACTGACGAAGTACCCTGCCGAGGGGAGCGGTGGGTGGGTCAGGAGAGGTCTGCAGAGCCACGGGGATCACCTCCAGGGCTGGGACTGAACTCGCACTGAAGCAGCCATGGCCAGCTTCACAGTGTTGTTCTAACCTGTTGTGCCACCCGGAGGGCCTGCATTTCAACAGTTCTTGTAGTTTTAACTGGGTTAGCAGGAGTAGCATTTGACCATGCAGGAGCAGGGCTTTCACCATGCTTCTGTCGCTTAGGGGCTGACTAGAGCTCTGAGGGTCTCTTGTCTCTAGCGATACCTCTCCCACTTTGCTATGGTTGTGACTGACCTGAAGCCTATTCTTCAGTCTAGAAAGATGGACTTCAGGTTGAATTTACAGAAAATGAGGAAATCAAACAAGAGCCATTTCTTCCGTAATCATCCACGAATGGCTGCTGGTCATTCTCCAGGGGATTTTTTTTGTTTTGTTTTTAGATTTAAAATGTGCACACATTATGCAAAAACACAGTTGTTATCTATGGTGACTTGCCCTGTGAGGGGCTCCCTGGGCATTATAGGAAGGAAACCTGCCAGCGCTTCACAAAGCCACTCACAAGTCCCAGATTCTGAGCGCTCAGAGGAGACACCGGCTCGATGCGTCCTAAGGCTCATCAGTATTGTAGAAGTTACGTTTGGCATCATAATTATGCCATTTAAACAACTACAAACTTAGGCCAACGGAACGCGCATGCCAATAGGCAGCGGACGTCTATGCCAAAAGTTATCAAATGCTTTGGAAAAATATTTGAAGCAAATTGCTAAAAATTGCCTGTGAAATCGAGGGTGGTGAGGACAAAACTGAAAAGAAAAAAAGGTCAAAGGGTTTAGAAGGAAACAGCACCTAGATGGTGTCATAAGAACTGCTGAAGTCTTGCTCCACCCTAACGCAGAGGAACTCCGGGACTTGTGGACAGGGCACGGTGAGCAGGGGGCACGGTTTGGGGGCACAGGTCTCAGTCGGCGGAGCTATGAGGAAAAACAACTGGTAACGAAGACACATTGAGATGTTTTCAGTGAAAACAGAAGCCCGACATGGCGCCGAGAGAGCTGGTACCTGCAATGCTCCGTTTTTGCTGAAGGACGAGACACACTGCATCAGTCGGCTCAGCTCTTCAGAAACCGCTTCCACCACCCTGGACAGGACTCGAGGCACCAGCTCTTTGGAAACAGTGAACACCTGGTGGAAGAGAAGAAACGACGTCATCTGGGAGCCTGCATCTTAAAAACAAATGCACACAACAGATTGACTCACAGGTCTTCTGAGTCAAAATTTTAAAGGGCCAGAGTTATGAAAGGTAGAGAGAGATTTCTACTGAAGTGTACCAACGGGTCCGTGCCACATGATAACCCTCTTTAAAACACGCTGGCTACAACGACCCTCAAAGGGGCTGTTGGCCAACTAAAACTAGTCTGAGAGACTTCTGTACCGTTCAGAAGAAGAAATATCATTTATAAAGAAGAAATCGCAGTAGCGAAAGCATACGCTGAATGATCTAACTAAGACAAAAGGAAACTTTTAGATTCTTACACCAAATGAGAGGTCACCAGAGGGAAAGACGGGCAAGGGGTGGGTAGACTGGGTAAAAGGGATCAACTGTAATCGATAAATTTAATGTAGCAGATAAAGATACTGATTAAAAATGAGGCCTCCCTTGAACTCACTGTGTTATAATGCAATGTCACTTCAATAAAATTTATTTTAAAAAATCGTGTAAACATATTTCATGTAATAAACACACACACACACTGGATCAGGCTCTTTAGAACAAAACATACCCCACTCACGTTGGCTGTATTATTCTGCACTGGACAAGAAAACAGTTTACTTTCAGCTAAATTAAATCACAATTCCTCCCATTTGACAGCAAAGGTAATTTTCCCATTTTGCGATTTTTTAAACAAGCCATTACATTTGGAAATCTGGGGATGCATCTGCCTATTTGCTTTATAAACAAAAGCTGTATTTTCTTTTCAGCCTTTCCTTATTTCGACTGATTCAAAACCTTGAAACCATGGGCTTATCCTCGAACGTAGCCTGAGCGGTTCAAGGAAATTTTCCGCAAGATCATGTGGCAAACAGAAAATCCAATGCAAATCACCTCGTGGTCACTGTCCCGCCCCAACATGCCCCAGAGCCGTCTCCTCTGACTACCCCACCCACCTCCCACAGAAGTGCTCTCACTTGCTGACCACTTACTTTTACACTCTAACTATACTGGAAACCCACCCAGCGAGAAAGCGTTTTTATATCTTTTGATCAAAATTCATAACTGACGATTATTTACTGGTTATAAACAACACAGGTGATAGACTCCTGCCCGCATTCAGTCATACCGAATGCTTATTTGTATGGAGGAATGTATATGCTTTTCTTTAGGAAGAAATGAAAATGGCTGTGCGTTCCTCCATACTCAGCCTCATCTGGGACAAGGGAACGTTCTCCTTGTCTCGCTGTTGATTTAGGCTTAAATTGTCCATGTGTTTTCCTTCCCCATCTACCTCAACAGCCTGACATTTTGGGAGGGAGCAGGGTGTAAACCCGGCGAGACCTGTATCAGAGGGCCGCAGCTGCAACAGGCCCTCAAGCAGCAGGAGAAAGCATCTCAAGGTAACCTCTCTGCGTGGTCCCCTTTTATCTAGTCACCCATCAATTGTGAGCCCTGGCGCCCTGAAAATACTGGCAGAGATGTGAGTAATGGCTCGAGAAATTACAGAGAAGGTAGTCATAGTGGTAACCATGGGGGCAGCTGTGGTCTCTTCTTTTGATGTTCCCTAGAAGCGTCCTGATCAGAAGCGTGCTCACGAAGCATGTTACTGTGAAGTTTCGGGTGACGGCGCTCCAAGGGCGGGCAGCACCGGTCTCCAAGCGCCTGAGTCACACACCCAGAGGAAACCACACGCCTATCCTTCGAGCCTGGCTGTCTAACAAGCACCGACTTTTCTGGAATCCCAAGCGTGGTGGGCTCCTCACTAAGATGCCAGTGCTTTTTTGTATGGTACTGGAAGGATGTTACTGGATTTCCCAAGATGCAGGGTTCAACACGCCTGTCAGTCTCAGGCAAAACAGACTCTCAACCTCTCTTCTGTTTCAAGTTTCTAATGAGGAGGAAAATGCAACACGACTTCAGGACAAGACTCTCATCGCTAACCACGCACACGCACGGCAGTGGAGCGGTGTGTTACGTCTTCCCGGGATGTGTCCTCAAAGGCGAGAAAGACCACGACACAAAGAAAGCATCCGCTTCGTCATTTTCTTTTTTCTAGTTACCCATCCATCTTCGGAACATCGAATGACAGCTTACCTCTGCATGTACAGCAATTATATTCACCAGTGCTTCTTTCAAATAGTTTCTGACACCTGAAATCAAAATGGGGGAGGGAAAAGGCATTTATTTAATCATGAGATGCCCGTCTCTCTGCTGGTATGACTGTGCTCTCTATGACTGCGAGGAGCTCGCAAAGGAGAAACAGAAAGTAACACCAACACTGTGTTTCCTTTTGAGGGCCAATGATGAAAGGACTATTTTTCGTACAGGTTTGGGAAAAAAAGGCTAATGTAGGCATTTTATCGTTTTTCCATTTTCATCACCTGTTGATGGCTCAAGTATTGGTTGATCAACTTCAAAACTGAAAACTCAAAATGTCCTTTAGTTTCTTTATATATGCACATCTGTATTGCATATTTAATAGTCTTTGTAAACACACAGACACACTGACATTAACAGACAGAAAACCAGAGAGCAGAAAGAGATTTACTGAAGCTTACACAACATATTCTGACCATCTTACTTCCAAGGTGAATGTCTAATTATTATGAGGAATGACTACTTCGTTCTTAAAAAATGGGAAAAAATCAACAAAACTAGACTCAATTTGATTTTGGAAAGAAAGTCAACGTTGGGCTAGACCACAGACTTCAGGGCTGTTTGAGCATGAGTTCATTACTCACTCAGGCAGGCACACAATGGGGGATGCCAGGCGATGTTGGATCAAACTCGTATGTCACTTACAAGCTGTGATTTTGGCAAGCAGACCATGAGCCCGGGTTTCTTTTCTATCAATGAGTTTACGAGCTACAGCACCTTTCTTGCACGGCTGTCATGGGAGTTCAGGGCAGAATACCCAGGGGCACCTCTGGTACTCAGAGCTCCTTAACAGTTTTCGCTCTTATTATTTTGCAAGAAAATGTAAAAACAGAGCCTGCTGTACTGGACCTCCCAGAGAGTTATCATAGCCCCGTCCTTCACATGGAGCCCAAGCATGCCTGTGAATGCTGTCTGGGATTAAGTGTACAGCCCTGGGGTTCCTTCTCTAGAGACTAGAGAAAAACACTATGGTTTGTGAAACTATGCATATGAACAGCGATGATGCCCACGAGAAGTTTCCCATAATGTCACGCTAGTTGCTGATTATTTAGGTGTCGTGATAGAGACCAAGAACGACCACCTTGTGTGTGAGTAGGCATTTTGCAGATTCTGATCCTCTAACTAGCATTCGGTTCTGCATGTACTCTGGTGTGTAAGAGGTACACCCGTGAACGGGTCTGTCTCTGGAGAAGCAGGTTTTATTTGCAGCTTTTTGGGATATGAAGGTTTTGATGTTTTTCATTGTTTTGTCACTAGACTAATGAAGAGTCATTCAATATAATCCAGACGTGGTTTGAGGAGCCTCCCTAGGGGCCGAGAGGCTGAGTCTCAGCACTGTGACTGCTACAGCCTGAGTTCACGCCCCAGCCAGGAGCTGACCCACAGGGCACAGCAGACCCCTTGGGTCTTACCCGCTGCTCCCGTCAGCAGTGTATTTGAGTGGATATGCTTGTTCTGCTCCTCATTCTGTCTCTGGTCAATCCCGCACCCCCCATACCTCTCTGGCCTACACCCTAGTTCTTCTACAAAATAAACACACAAATATTTAAAACAAGACACACAAAATAGAAATGAGTTGTCTTCCTGAGAGCAGGGCAACTCCCTAGCCTGGAAGTCAGGAGAACATCTCAGGAGCCTGTTATAAGTGACCAACTTGTGCTTCAGGCCAGAACATCTCTCCCTGGAGGAGGAAAGTCTGCCCACAGTCTGAGAGGGAGTGGCGTGTGATCCCACCCTCGTTCCCAGGTGGACACGCCTCATCTCATTCCCTGCTGCCTGGACAGGTGTCCTGCGTGAGTGCACAGTGGCAGGAAGGGCATTGTGGATCAAGAGTTCCTATCATTCTTTGGGTTCAGAACCTTTAATGTGCAGCCCCCTGAAAGGCTGGCTCGCCCACACATATACACCTGACACACGTCCAGCCACTAAAAATATGAGTGCGACGGTGGGCCACGGATGCTCTTAGAGTGAGAAACCAGGATGCTGTGATAGTGCCCCGAGACATGTGTTAGCAGCCTGGGTTCTGGGAGTTGTCCTGGCACCATGTGTAGAAGTGTGAGGGCAGCTTTTATGTCCTCTAGTTCCTCGAGGTAAAAGAGATGAACTGGGCCAGAGTGCTGATTAAAGGCAGAAAATTAAACTTAGCACAAAGCAGGGCTGTATCGCATACTCAGTGACCACGTGCTGTGAACTCCCAGACAGGAAAGGCAGCTCCTGGCAAGGACCCAGCAGACTAAGGAGCCTTAGGTGACACAGCGCTTGCAGGCCAGGCTACACACCACCCCTTCCACAGACAGCACTGCACAGAGTAAGAATAAAAAGCACAGGACACTTTCACCATAGTTCTGTTGCTAGAAAATGTGAGAAAAAGAAGCTTCCTGTTTTAGTGTGGCCACAGGACTCATGAAGAAAATCTATCAGCAGGAGAAAAGAGTCTTAAGCTCAGACAAGTGAAAACATGATGCAATGTTTTTTCTCTTTGGGAGATTTTATTTGTATGAATAGAAAAGATAAATGGAAACCCTGTCCCTCTCCTCTGCCCCCAGTGCAACAGATGATGGCTTCAGGGGCTGAGTGGTGACGTTGGAAAAAGAGAAGGGAAAAATGTGTGGTCCTAGGGATGAACAGAAATAGCACTCCTGGTCAAACCACATGTCAGTCTGGTCGGTTCAGAGAGGAGGCCTTCACTTAAATCATCTGAGAATTGCACAGGAGCTCAGGAAGGAGCTCTGCGAAGTGTCATCATAACCCCAAAGGCGCGCACAGGCGGAGCTTGAGCTCGCCAACATAAGCTCTCAGTATTAACAAGTGGTTGGCTCTCTCCAAAAAACTACCCCCGCTCTGACCTACAGATGTAAGGATTTCTTACTGCCCGTTGGGTTTACTGTCCTTAGTTCTGAGGAAGTGGCTAAATGTCCTCATTCATTCGTCTACATGAATTAATGAGATTTTACTCTGTGAAGGATGCTGCTGGGCACCTATCAGAGGGAACAGGTGCCAAGCCCTTCACAAAGATTATGTCCAGGCCACAGATGTGCCCAAGGCTCCACAGTGCTCAGTTGTTGGTTCTGTTCTGATTCCTGCTGTTCAGGCAGGTATCTTGTGTGTAACACACACAAGGTAGGGAGCCCCAGTGGAAGGGTTTGATATTGCCAGGAAGTCTTTGTACTCTTCTTTAAACTAATTTGTGAAATGCTGACTGGCTTGATCTGTCTGTTGTGAATTTCTTGAAAAGTTGTTAGGGGAGAGTATTTGGGTAGAGAAAGTCAGGGCCCGGGGCTTGGAGAGAGATGGCCTCTATGTCTGGGGACTGAGGTCTGAGGGTTCATAAACACGAACAGATAAGATCTTGTGGTCTTTCTAGTTAAGAATTTCAATTCCTTTCTCTCTTCACCCCACTTGTCAGCCAGTGATGAAGCCTGAATTTGAGAGCAGGCCATTGACACACCCTGCTTTCTGGCTTCCCTGCCAGGCTCTGCCCCACATCAGCACAGAGGTTCACATTGCGTCTTTCAGGCATGCTTCTCCATCAGTAAACTCAGATAAGCCCTCTGGTTCAACCCCTGCTGAGTTTTGTCTTGAAATACTGCTCCGAATCTAGCTGCAAGGAGGAGTTCAGTGCTTGCAAAAACCCACAAGAGGGCTGTACGGTGGCAGGTGCTGGATGTCCCTTGCTGATGCCACGGGGCCCCATGTCACCAGCCCCAGCGAAACACGCTGGCAGCATGTAGCAGTCCTCATTTTGGTGGCCACAATGGCTGGGTTACTCTTTTCTGATCAGGAGAAGGAAGGACGTGGGAATCACACCAACAAAGAGGGAATTCACACGCTCAGGGTTGAGAAAGCAGAGTTGTGGTTTGGGGCAGTGTCAAGGCAGGTCTCGCTGCTGTGCTCACTGCGGGATGAGCTGAGCTCTGCGGTCTCTTCCTCGAATGGAAGGGGCTCACCAGGGACCACAAGACGGTGGTGGGAAGAATGCCAGGAAAAATGCTGCCTGAGAAAGATCTGGAAGCTGTTAGAGAGGAGCTGGGCCTGCCTTTTGTTATAAAGGTGGCTGAGCCTGGTGGGGGAGGAAGAGCCAAATGCAGATGGGGTGACAGCGTCCATGACGATGAGGGTGGGGGAAGGCCAGTACTTGCCTTTGGTTATTATTTCCGCAGGATCCATGAATGTGGCCAAGGGACTGTTTTGTACTTAGTTTTGGTGGTATATGCCCTTTTGCTTCCCATTATATTTGATTAACATTTTGATATCAATTTGCCTTAATAGCTGATGATTGCTCTTTAGTTCATGGAGCTGACGGAAAGAACAGAAGGCAAGGTCAGAAGCTTTGGGTTCCAGGCTCTGGCCTACCTGTACATGTGTGCCGTAGACACCAATCGGTCTCCCTTTCCAACAATACCCACTCTGCAAGAAGCAGACATCAGAGCATTTGTTTTGCTAAGAGCGCTGTATGAAAGTGTGACAGACATCCACTTCCTCGCGCATGGAATATTTGCTGTGTGCCCTTTACTTGCTGGGCGCAGTCGAGCAGTGTGCGAAGCAAATGGGACAGGCGTGCGGCCGGCCCAAGGAGCTGATGCTTCGGGAACTGGGGCCGTCTTGTCCATTAGTGCGCGTGTTTCAGGTGCTGTTTCTCAAATAAAGGCATAAAAGGCAGGAGGGCTGAATACACACATCTCCAGGCAGGTACACACCGGGCGTGGATGCACGGAAACGTGTCCATCACGCCCGCCACCTAGCTGCCGGATGTCGTAACTGCAAGTTCTCTAACTGGGCCCAAAGAACGTTGCCACGGATTCATGTGAGCGGGAGGGGATGGCTGGTGTCCAGTGACGTCCTGTTACGCGGTTTGCTGGCGCGGGAGAGGCTCTGAGTGGGACCAGTGTTCTTGGCTTTCTCAGGCACAAAGTGCTCCGGAAGTCAGAATTTTAGAATCCTGTCATCCTTTGCCGTTGTTCGTTTTGAAAAGAACGGCTGCACGTCACATCCA